AAGTTTGCTGCGTTTGCACGCGTTCGGATGTTACCGCACCAAGGTTGGGATGGCGCACTTTGGTGGCTTACTCTAGCGTCTGTTCTGAACAGGGTGCATTGGTCACCTGGGTATACTAAAACGTAATGAAATGTGACCAAAGATGGAGGTAAAACCCAGGGATGTCATATGGTCAGTATCTAGATCAAGATTTTGCGTAGTTCCCCTCTGATTTCCATTTTTTAAATTATGGGTAGCTTGTTACAGCTTGTCACAGTTCGCTTCGCATTTTGTTGTAGAGAGGAGGGACTGAAATACATGCACGATATTCTTCGCGGTTTCGTATGGAAAAGGGCTATATTTAATATCTACATATCCTAGGACTCCATTCGGTTCACCGCGGTCTGCTCCAAATTTGCGTATTTTTTCGGAAGATGGCGGCTGCGATGCGGTCGAGGCCCACTTTCCGACGTCAGGGGCCGGGCTGAGCTGAGAGGGGAGTCGCCAGGACGAGTAGCGGTCGGTGGAGGAGCTGGGACGGACGCGGAGTCTGGGGAATTCTCTGTGCAAAGCAGGCCGTGTCCCGTTTGGGCCATTTCTGGCGGGGTCGTATCTCTGTCGGATGGGTTTGCTGGTTCGTTGGCAGGTTCCGAGACGCGCGGCCTCTTGGAGGGAGTAGACGGGCCCGCCCGGCCCTCCCAGCGACTCGATCGCTTCGAAGGCGGAGTAGCAATGGGAGTTGGTGCGGCCGCGATCGAGGCCGGCCTTGGCAGGTACGTTAGATCAAGGACGCGAAGGGCCAGATGATTCGTGTCAGCAGTGCGACCAGCGACCTTCGCGGTGACACTGAGAAAGGCGCCCGACGGCGGTGTCTTGACCTTTTGCCAACGCTTGGTGTTTTCCAAGAAGCAAGTTACAGCGAACTGTACCGGAGCGGCCTTTGAAGCGTTGTAGACGGACGTTTCGACGGTGAAGTGGCGGGGTCCCGAAGGCTCAGGAGAGCCGTCGTCACTAGCGCGGACCGAGCCGATGACGGTCACCATGGGGCACCATTGTTCTGGCAAGTGGCGGCGGTACTCGTCGAAGTCGGCCACGTCTCCTGGGTGCCTAATCAGGTCAGCCGAAGCGAGGCTGCAGGGGTGGAGGGACCTGCCTCATCAAGCTCAGTGCCTGGATGCTGATTTCCAAATCACCGTCTGCGGAAAGGACCCTCGAGAAGCGGCCATCGGCATAAAAGAAGGTGTTGGGAAGGTATAGGTCTCGTTCGTCTCGCGTCATATAGACGTGGATGCGGGTGCGAATCGGCTCGGCGATAATATCAGGACTGTAAAAGCCGTCTTCGCCGAAGATGTTGATGTCCGCGCGGATCTCGGCGTAATTCGGAGCGTCCCGAGTCGAATCGTCGGTAATGGTGTCGACAAAATCACGCAAGTGGATGATGCTCGAGAATGTTGGCTGTCGAGACATGACAGAAGGTGCTAAGCGGGGGCGTTTCGTGTCCGACGCTTGTGGATATCAAGCGTGTGAAGTGCCTGGTAGGTAAGACAGAAGAATTAAGTCGGGTGAACAGGTTTATCCTCGAATCTGGTGGGGCGGGTGCTTAAGTGGATGAAGGAACACCTAGGCACGGCTATATAGATCATGTGTTATGGCGCGGCGTGCCCTCCGTGCACTTGCAGCTTTGTCTCTCGTGTGCGTTGGGTGTATGAGACCCCTATCACAATCAGGATGGCAGTCCTGATTGTCCTGGCTTTTTAGCAGAGGTGGGAGGGGTCTCCTTCTGTCTAACCGCCTTGACATCAGGTAAAGTGCAGGGACGACTAAACTACCGCCCAGGTGACCTGATCACACGAACAGGGGAAAGAGACTAACGAGTGCTAGGACAAAATGATAAACGGGCGGACGGAGGAACGTGGTCACGTTTAAAGTTTGAAGCTGAAGTGATTGGCTTGTTAGGCGATGTGGCTGAGTTAGCCGGGAAGCGACCGGTGCCCCGGGACAGGGGCTGGCTGCCGGTCGGCGGGCAGGGACAGCGCTTGTCTGTAATGCTCCGTAATGCGAATGGAAAAGCGAAGGGGTGGGCGAGGGGTTAAAGTACGGGGGAAGGGAAAGGGTGCAATGGTGTAGTCGATGCGTTTTGGAGGGGGTATAAGCAAGGTGGGCTGGAAGGCCTTTTTCGAGGGCCGCAGGTTGGTGTTCTAGTGCCGATAACATACGCGATCGATTTGGTCGAATTCGATATCGACGCTGCAGATGCGCGCAAAGCCGTTGCTTTGGACGAAGTCGACTAGATGTATCCAGCTATGGATGCTACCAACGACGCTGTGGACAGGATCCCGGCCGG